AGAGAGAGAGAGAGAGAGAGAGAGAGAGAGAGAGAGAGAGAGAGAGCGAAGAAATTCGAAGACGCGTAAAAAAGTGGATCACGGAAAAATGCAGTGGAAAGAAGGTACAACACTTTGTGTGTACGTATGTGTGAGAGAAAGAGAGAAGGCGAGTAAGCTGTTATACGCGACGATAAATGGAAGCCCATAAACACATTGCTACTCGGTGGAACTTAGTTTTCCGCCATCCAGCGAGAACTATCGCGCGCGGCACTGAATATGTGCGCGCCGGCATAACATCATAGCTTATGACCATCAACTATTTTTATTATTCACCGCCTGCACAGTACGTTGCCGCGGCCGTGCGCCGCTTTCGCAACATTTTCCGATACACCGTGTGCAGGAATGCACACCAATAAACTTTGTTCTGCCGAGCTGCGCGCCGCTGCGGTGCCGTCCGTTGTGCGGTGATCAAGTGAAAAAGCGGATCTATATTATTCCGGCGACTTTCAGTCGCGCTCGAAAGTCGCAGGATATCCGGCGACCGGCCGGGGATGGAGGACACACCACGTACACATGTATGTCTGAGATCAGGATATCACCGCGATGGGAATCGGGCTTCGTCGAGCGATTTGTCGTTGGTTAAACATAAAATTTCATGCGGCTCCTAGCCTGCGCGGAAAACGATACGCCGGACAGCTACTATCGCGATTTTGCGAAACTTTTACAGCGACAGAGAGAGAAATACACGTTCAATATCAAAGAGGAGAAGAGAGGAAGAGGGAGGGAGGGCTTCAGCGTTTACATAAAATATCATTGCGGGACAAAGGTAAATGACGGCGAATAACACCGCGCTTTTTGTCCGACACACGTGGCGATATATGACGTGCGTTAATACCGGGTCGGCACGGGACGTTACGGCGCGTATAAAGCGACGAAATACGAGCCGGAAAATATGACGGCAAAAGCGGACGGATACCTGCGGAGATAATGAAATTGAGACCACATTAATGTGCGCGCACGCGCCTGACACGTTGGAGATCAAAATATAATCGACCGTAAAAGGATGAATTAAGGACACTGGAGGATAAAAAAGTCGCTTCCCTTTTCTTACATTTTTTATCTCTATAGTCTCAAGAATGTCTCCTCAAAACAATTGGCCGAACTGCTTATCGGTGTTTTACAAATTCAAAGAACTCGATAAAATTGTTAGCCATCGACGACACGGTTATTGCATTCTCAGTTTTTTAGTGCTTCTCTCAACAATAGGTGCGATGCTTATTTGCGTAAATGATTTGCAAAGTGATATATTGTTTAATAAAAGGAGTACCAGAAGTCTCGGATTTAAAATAATTGTAAATGTGTGACATCAAATATATATATCTATATTGATATACTATTTTGTAGAAATTGCGATTTTTTTGGCTGATAGCATATTCAATGAAGGTTTTCATCTCGTCCTACAAATAATGTCGTTCATGGGAACGACAATAGGACAGAATGCAAAAACGTTTGTCGACATTCGAGATAACAAGCGACTCAGACGACCTAAGCGACGGACGTCTGAAGTGCTTTCAAAGGCTGCACTTGAAGAAGGTTCGCATTTTCAACGAAGAAGAAGAGTTATTTGATGGGTCCGGTATAGCATATTAAGATAATTTAATTACTTCTAGTAACCCTTACTAAAACTTTAGAAGAGTCTCTTTTGAACTTATGTTTTTCAAACCGGTCTTTTCTCAGAAAAAAAGTACTGATCGATTTTTACTTTTAATCAAAATATTTGTAATGCCTATCGCTACCTAGCAGAATTCTGTCAATAACCAGTTTCTCACAGCTCCAAAAAGTTGAAAAAAGACTGTAAAATTCCGTATATTACGTTT